GTTCTCAACTTTTCAAAGAAAGTAGAAATATTTTCTTGGCTATAAAAGGCTAGTGAATACATGCCCTCTTCTGAGGAACTATGAAGCTGGAGGGAACTTGACTCTGAAGAGGCTTTTGAAGTCAATTTACTAGAACCAACCGACTGACTGGGAGAAGAAAGGGTTAATACTCTTTACAAAGGGTTAAAAATGATGTATGAAATATTTTTGTGTTTATTCAGATACCTACTACAAGGGTGATGGCAGGGTATGAAAAATCAAAGTTTAGGAGTGGGGGCTAAAACGTCATTTCTACGCATAAAATGTACATATAAGTGACGTCACGCGACATTTCAAATCAATATATCGTCGAAAGTATTCGTTTGTGTAAATAAAATAAAAAATACGTGTTTAATGATTTAAAATAATTTACCAGACGGACATTAAAATTAAAATGAGACATCTATTACGATGTGCTTTTTTGTAAGTCATATTTTTGGACCTAGGTATATATGTAAGTATGACACAAACCCAGAAAAATGTGAGAGGACAATAGTATTAAGGAATCATTAATCAATTGTGAAGTTCAATTTTAGCGACTTTCAAGGACTTGAACGCCATGGGGGACAAGGTATGGGCCACGATAGCGGAGGATTTACCTATTATTAACAGTTTTCTGTCGGCAGTCAAACTGTTAATAATATGACTGACAAGAAACTTGGACACAATTTTCAGTTCAAAAGAAAACTATAAAAATCAAAAAGATCACATAAACATTTATAAATACAAGAGCAGTATCCATTCAAAACCACAACACCAATGAAACAACAGAACATAGATGATGCACAATTATAATTGATCAAGCAACACGATCTAAACGTAATAGACACAGAATCAATAACAGTCAAGACAGATATACTAGAAACTGTGCAGATACACAAACGAACAGAGGAACAAGCCCTAAGGCTAAATGGGGTCAAAGATCTTATGTTATTAGTGCATTTGGCTGAACTTGTGTCTGGCAGACCGCACAAAGCTATTTATGACGACGATTCACAGATAGAGACGGTTAACAATAACAATATGTGGAGACATTGAGAGAATTTGGGCTTTGACTAAATGTAGAGAAGATAGATGATTTGGTTGCAAGAGCAATTGAACTGATCTTTGAAATCAAAGCAATTATGACTATAACAATAATAAACTTTAATTTTTTCCATTATCCACAATAGGACTACACTAACCGGCGACTGTCTTTGGGTGCATTTCCACAGTGCATTCAGGGATAGTCGCCGGTTTGTGTGTCCATTACATTTAGATTAAAGTTGTCTAAAGGGACTCTGCGCAGTTGGCTTCGACCCTCCATATGCTTCCCAAATGACCGTCACCCTGTTCCCAAAAACGGCAAAATTGATTTAATCAAATTCTTAGATAATCGCGGACAAAGATGTAATAGATCAAACTGACAACCTTCTTCTTTTTATGAAAATGGTTAAACATTACAATTGATTACAAAATAAAAAAAAGCATGCAATATTTTATAAATTTCTAAAAACAATTTAAAACAATATAGTATAATAACAACAGAATAATATTCAAGCACTTCAAAATCCAAAAGACCAGATAGTATACACCTGACACGGCCTTGAACTTAAGAAAACTCTGTTCGGTAACCGATAAAGAAACCGTCGACGCACAAAAAATAAAAAAAAGCTTCCGATAAAAACCCAACAATATCTGAAAACCCATTATTTCATCATAACACTTAGAAAAGAAAATACGAAAAGACACCTCAAGCCAAAGTCACACGTATCCTTGAGATGCGGGCGTCCATTAATCAATCTATCGTTAAGACGTTTCCAAGTTTTTACGCCACGACAAGGTTACGTCGAAAGGGTCTCGAGTTGTCCAAGAGTTTTATCAAGGGACGGTATTTATAAAAACTTGGGTGTTAGTTGATGGGAGCTTAGATAGTTTGTATTGATTGTTGTTTAAACATTTATAGAGGGCGCCTCTTTCGATTTAAGTCCAAGAATAATATTGCTAATGGATCGTGTATTTAACCGTCCAATTGTTCGTGTATGTGTGATTACATGCTCGTCATTTGACACTGAAACAATGGAGGACAAAGCAAAAAAGGGATTTAACTTTTATTTGAACTTTTGAAATCGTAATCCACTTCAATTAAGCCGTAACTCTAATAAATTGTTTTCGGCTTTAGAACAAGCAAAGTTTATTATAACGAGTTATAAGTAGTTGAATTCTAGATATTTTTATCATAAAATTCGTATAGAAATAATTCACCGAAACACATGCACATAATATTAAATATTACAAAAATTTTTATATGGACCCAAATGATAGAGGGCGAGTCTATCGCCAACAAAACTATGAACCATTTCTGAGCTAGTATTCATATGAAATGAAATAATATTTGTTTTCTGCAAATAGGTAAACCACACAATGACACTTTTACACGTTATTAAAATGAAAAGACATCAATTATAAAATTAAATCATTATTCGATCCATTTGGATTCATAAATCAGAGGTCGCCACTTGTGCCTAAAACACCCATACACATTAGACCATCGTTACCACCGCCCATTACACGCAGAGCGCATGAGAGTCCGTCAATAGCTGTTACATTGGGCAGTAATGAGCTAAAATAGCTTGTTACAGTCTAAATTAGCTTGTCAATTTGTTGCATTTAGCTCCTCTTACTAAAGAGATTATTGCAATCACTGATTTGGGAAATTGAACCTTATTGGCTATCATGTTTTGTAAATATTCTTATGAATAATGGGGAATTAGAATCTAAATGTCTGTATTATTTATGGGAAAAGTTATTACGTCATAAGTTACGTCGACCAGAAACGTTGGATGCAGTAATCGCACTAGTCAGTACCTACTTATATTTGACCTCTTTGAATCCATTACGACAAAATATTTCAATGTCACCCCAAAACTCCAGAAGATACAAGGCAACCAGGAAAAACGAAATATCAAAGTAGTACAAAAATCCAATTGAAAATCTCACCTAGACTTCGTGTGACAGGTTCACAAAGAAAATCAAAACTAAGAAAAGCGATTACGTCTGAGACCGTTTCCCGGGTATTTTAGCATCAACTTCGGTATAGGGTTACAAAAGGAAAATGGTCGCTGGTAAACTCGTGGCGGGCGGGGGTTAAGTAATAAGAGAATTGTACCTTTTATTTTTATTTTCACTCGGGAACTTTGGGCTCGATTTCTCGCTGCGAATTGAGATCGTTGTTAAAGTTTTTATTCCAAGTATTAAATCTTGGAATACTTTGACTATAAGTCTTCCGTATCATTTTACACATGACTTTTTATAAATAGAGAAATAAATATAGCAATGATTTATTTTACGACCACTAAAATATCGAAAGCACATCATTTTTAAATCCAATTCATCTCCCACGCTCCCAAAAACGACACAAACGCCATCTATGCTCGTCAACTAACAAATTAAAATAAAATACAATTTTTATTAAGTACGTTTAAAAAACCGCTTTCAACACCCTCTTGTTTTTAAGTACTCGACTAATTAATATACTAAAACACACTTAGGAGAAGCCTAAGTGTAAGAAACACTATTCTGAAACTCGCATCAAAATAGGTTCAGCCAACCGCGAGATAATCGCGCACAAAACATACGTACAAGTTAAATTAAGAATTATAACATAACATCACGCCTTTAATTTTCCGAAGGGGTAGGCAGAGGTGCACATTATACCACTGTACAATGTAACACCCACTTTTCACTATTTATGTTATGAGTCCCATGTAATAGGGGTTGAGCCTATTGCCATATACCGGGCATAATTTCAGACACCATGCTACAACTGAGATTTTTTTTAAAAAACCCAGCAATACTTTGCTCGACCCGGGAATCAAACCCGAGACCCCGTGTCCGGCAGTCGCACTTGCGCCCACTCGACCAACGAGGCAGTCAAAATCAGATTAAGTATCACCTTTTTTAAATACGCTTCTAACTTGCACCAGCTACGAACATCATAGCGTTCTATTATCTTACTACTTTTGGTATGACACCGCGTCTCAAAAGATGCCTACTAACTATATACAATATACATATATACGATTATATATCTAAAATGACATTAAAGGCAGAGCTTTGAGTAAGGTATGAATGCCTATGTAACAGTTACGTGAGAAGCACTAATAAGTGGATGTTGCGGTACAAGTAACATTACTTTATATAAGGGATCGTTACTTGATATTTAAGGTTGTCTTTCTATTTCAAGGCGAGATAGACAAGAACGTACAAGTAACTAAAAATGATGAAGTCTCTCTGTGGCTCGAAACTAGGAGTGCTTTTCTCAGCATTTTCACGTGAGTCATTGTTTTAATAATAACTATTGTGAGACATGCTAAGTTAACTAAAAATCACGGGGTACGCACGATAGTTGTTATAAAAACAATGTACAAACAAGTAGTATGTTTTAACCAATTTTAAAAAAGGTTGTTTTCAGTTGGCGATTGTCTCGCGATTGGTTGGACCGATTTATGCTGCAATTTTTTTTAAGTGTTTATTATATGACACTTATTATTACAACAAACATAACATCACGCCTTTTATTCCCGAAGGCAAAGACAGAGGTGCACATTATGTAGGTACAATGTAATACCTACTTTTCACAATTAATGTTATGAGTCCCATGTAATAGGAGGTGAGCCTATTGCCATATACCGGGCACAATTCCGGACTCCGTGCTACTACTGAGAATTTTTTAAAAACCCAGTAATACTTTGCCCGACCTGGGAATCGAACCCGAGACCCCTTGCCCGGCAGTCGCACTTGCGACCAATCGGCTAGCGAGGCAGTCAATTATTACACTTCGGAGTATAAATATTTAAAGAGGACGTTAAAGCCGGTTTTAACGTTGTTTAATATTAGAAATTATTTATTATTCGCTCAATTGTAGATTAAGACAATAGTTGCAACTAGTCTTTACCAAAAAAGACGCTAAGAATCTGCAGGCTTACTCTTGAAACTAATTTCAATTCCAATCCAAAGCCAATCCAATTCCAATGCTAAATTTGAACTCACGACATTCGGTACTCTTGAAAACAATAATGATAACATTGGATTGAAATCGGAATTGTCCCGCGATTGTTTAGTGTAACGTGAAGTTAGCTATGCATCGAAACACAATAGTGTTGTTCGACTTTTTACGATAAACTTGAGACAGGGCTCTAAAATCATATATCTTTAAAAAAATAAGGTTTAAAAATAATAATCATTCATATAATTATTTGTTTTCTATCTCTAACTAGATTAATTTATTTTTAAGGAAGTAAATAATTAAAAAAATAAATTTACCATGACTTTGGTTTGCTTTGGATGTACCTATACGTTAGCAACACTACTAAAAAAACCCCTCCGTAAAAGTTCTCCACATAATTTAAAACGTTCTAAAGTTTTTAGAAGAAATTACGAACGAGTTTGTTTGCATTATTACTTATTATATACCTTGAGATATACTTATTTACTGTTTAAAGTGAAAACGGCCAACTTAGTTACCTTGTATCAACGTTTAAACAATTGGTAAGTACCTAAATGCTCATAAATAAATATTTCGGCATTGTTTTGCTATAGTATTTGTTTAAGCTGTATTTGTGAACTTTCATACTACTTTGGTTGGTCCATGTACTACCTATAGAACTATACCATTACTTGTATTTTGTATGTCTAGGCCTAATTAATCAATGTTTATCAATTTCAGTTGCAATGCCAAGTCGTCCTAGCTACGCCCAATTAGAAGGTTTAGTGGAGTTTTTAGAACAAAATCCAGGCGTAGCTAAGGGCTTAGTTCGGACAACCCAAGGCCAAATAGAAACGAAGAGAAAGTGGGAAAATTTAGCGACTTCTTTAAATTCGTTAGGAGGTGCCAATAAAAACGGCAGGGCTTGGGCGAAGGTAATTAAAATGACTACTTACTTACTACATAACATTACTTTTAATCTGAATTATTATTATATTACTTGAGCAATTTCATCAAAATGAATGCATTTTCTTTTTAGTATTGGGCTGAGAAGAAGTGCGCTCTACGGAAACATTGTGCAGGACTCTCAGCCTCAATGAGACGCACTGGTGGCGGAGCATCAGACAACTTACCAGCGCTCTCCGCTTTAGATACTAGATTGGTGGCAGTAATGGGTGGGCGAGAATTTGCAACAGGCGATACAAGTTTGGCAGTCAACCCATTTCCTCAATCGGTAATTTTTGTCAAAGATAATTCATTATGTAGCTACATAAGATTTGATTAAATCAAAAATTATTTGATATAATTTTACTGTTTCAGACTAGTCACAGTAGTCATACAGAGCTACCTATAATGATAGAGATTGTAGAAACAGGAGAACAAGTAATGCAAGCTAATTCTCCTATTCTTGGCATGTCACACATTGATGCAATACCAGCTTCATCCACAAGTAAGTATATTTGAATTTATAAATTTATTAACATGGAGTCTAATTAGTCACACTAGAATGTGCCGTTTGTGTGTGCTTACATAGCTCAAGTGGGAAAGCACTAATGTGTAACCTTCTAATGAATGTTAGAATGTTAAACTTAAGTACTTATTTAACTTTTTATAATAGTGTTTTACGTATTTTTTTACATTTCAGTACCTGCATCGCCTACCCCACTTGAGAATTCTATACCTACTATACCACCAGCACCACGAACTCGCCGGCGGCGCCGATCGTCGATTTCGAGGCCGATGGATTCACAAATGGAGCAGTTCTCAAGTATCGAAGCACGCAGGGTTGAAGCAGAGCTAATTACAGCACAAGCATTGGCTAAATTGTCAGAAAATATTGGCAATATAGCTAATGCTCTGACATCTATTGCTAATGCAATTTCAGATGTAGCTAGTAAAATGCCAAATCCTTAGCAGTTCTATTTGATATATTGATTTAATGTAGGTCTAATAATTATGATTTCCTTGTTACATTGTTGATTTGTGATTTAATTTTATATTGTTGATTTATGTTATAGTTTAAAATGGGTAAAATAAATAAAAGTTTTCTTTTTATAATGTATTTTTATTCTTTCTTAATAACATAATTAAGACTAATAATACTATATAAAAATGATATGACATATAATAAAAAAGGACAACTAATTTATAATAAAGACAGAAATGATAAAAAAATACAATAGATTAAAAAAAGCCAAATACAAATTTAAAATAAAAACATTTACCTTCTGCTCGCCCACAACTGCTGAACTAAAGCATTTCTCTTTTCGATACCTCGTCTTAGTTCAGCAGCTGTGTTACTACCAGAAGATTCTTGGGCAGTGACATCTTGGAAATCATTTTCATTTTCAGCTGTATTGTCCTCAAGATCTTCATCTACCCTATTTAAACACATGTTGTGTAACACACAACATGCATTTATTATTTTAGCTGCTACATCAGGGTGGTAATGTAACACCCTATGCCTGAGTAAGCACCTCCATCTATTTTTCAATACACCAATGGTACGCTCCACTGTATTCCGTGCCATACAATGCAGTTTGGTGTAATATTCTTCGGGTGAACCCTGAGGAGCATCAATAATTGGTGTCATCATGTACTCCCTCTGTGCATATCCAGAATCACCTGAAACAAAAACTAAATAAAAAATATTCCCAGTCAGAAAAATGCAGATATGACTGATGACTTGTTTACAACATTTAGATACTTGCCTAGTAAAAATACATTTTCTCCATTATTATTCAAATCAATTAAGTGTTGTTTCACAGGATGCTGATTCCATACAAAACTGTCATGTGATGCCCCTCCATATGAAGCATCTACTGACAGAATCATTAAATCTGCATCACTTATCTGAAAATAATATAAAAGGGTTATTAAACTAAGTTGTTACAACAAGTCAAATGGGTTATGTAATTAATTAATGAGAAGTATTGCCTTACAATCATAACATTCCTTGAATGGAAATGTTTGCGGTTAAAAAATCTCTCCTCATTTTCTGATGGCCTAATGATGGCTACATGTGTACCATCAATACACCCTATCACAGATGGTATATTAAACCTTTCATAAAACCTGGAACATAAAGAATATACCTGGTTAAACCGTTATTTACAAAAATCATTACAAACAATAAGTACAAAACAGACATATTATTGTTGTTAACATTTTTGAACTGCTGTTCACCATTGTAAACCCACAATTAAGTTAAGTTGGACAGCAAATTCATAAAAAGACATAAAAACAGTGTTAATAATTAAGTAGAAAATGTATGTACATAGTTTTATGTTTGTTTAGTACTTTTATAATAATTATATGTTCTTAAATTGACTGATAGAGAATACACAAGGTGATATTAGTCTGCTAATTTATTGTAGGTACATATGCAATAAAATGTGAACAAATTATGTTAGTTTGAAAATAAACAGCTGATTGTAATCAACATTACCTTCTTTTTATAGCATCCCTTTCTTGGCGATTTTGAGGAAACCTAATCCATTTGGTTGCTACTGCAGGATGGTTTAGAGCTGCTGTTACATCTCGTATAGCACGAGATACGGATTGCTGCGACATTAGGGTCCCATATGTGCCTCCAACCAGTTTCTGGTAGCTCCCAGTAGCATAAAAGGATAATGCCACTAAAACCTGCAAGAATCATATGGGTATTAACCTATGGCTATTTCACTGGCTATGATAATATATTATTATGATAGTAGCACTTATGTATTTTAATTTAAATCATTGTTGAGCTAAGTTCGTAATGAAAGATCGTAGTATGCTTACCTTATATTTCGGTGATATGTCATTTTTTCTCTTATGAGCTGGCAGAAAGGGCTTAATATTATCATAAAGCTCGCCAAATAAATCCTTGGTCACTCTATAATTCGCCTGGAACTCCACTTCGTTCATTGAAAACGCTTTGTCCATATACCGCATCAACCTACGCTCATTTCGCCTCTGTTTTAATTGTTTTTTATGAGAATTACGTAAAACACTGTACATAACGACTAATCGTGCCATATTATACAGTAATCTCTGACGAAAATTCACTTAAAATGCAAAACAATCTCTAAAAAGTTACACTTTTGTTATTGGAAAAATCACAATAAACAAACAATCGCAACTCAATATTGGCGCAATTGACAGCTGTCAAAACGTGCTCAAGAGTACCGTTTATTGCAATTCGAATCCAATCCTAATTTCATTTAGTTTCATACAATAGACACACAATTTAAAACCAATGTGGCGCTAGTGTCAAACTCAAGAGTACGAAACATTCAAATTCCAATGTCGATCGATCGGAATTAAAATCAAGAGTAAGCCTGCTGTACTATTATTACAATTATGGTGGTGGAATTTGTATAGTATTTGCTGAAAATGGGAATCAAATCGAGATTCACAACTCTGTAAGTCACTAATAAGACATAAAGATTATTTTTACTCGTTGAGTACCGTCATTATAGACGCAATTAAAGAACAATAGGTCGCGGTTACCGGTGACCGCTTGGTGTTTGACAGTTTAATAACCTCACACTAGTATTTTCTCCTGAGTCGTGGGTGCGTTTACAAACATACAAGTTCACATACACATCACACCCAGACTCGGAACAACAATTTGTAATATACGTACGTTTTAAATTTATAAAGAATGAAACAGAAATATCACTCAATACATACATAAACACACCTGTCCTTATATTCAGCCATCTTCGATTTCAATATCATACTATCGTGACCTTTGCCAACGCAGTAAAGGGTGAGAGGAGCTCCTTGCTATTTATAATCACGACATTATAATAAAACATGTCCTTCTAGAAGTATTCTCAATACTTCTTAACTTGATCCATGAGATGACATTCGATATATTCATTATTAGGTTGGTTTTAAATTGTAGACTTATATTTGTTCTTGGGGTAAAAGGGATTTGTTTATATTTTGTTTTGTTGCCAAGGTGATAAGAGATAATTTAAAGTGTTTCTTAATTTATTAGGATAATGTTAACTTAGACTACGCTTTTGAAATGAGCAAAGAGTAATCTTTGTATATTGAGCTATACATATATAAAGAGGTAAATAATAGTTGTATAGAGATACAACTGCAAAGTTGTAGTTGATAATTTATAATTTTGTACAATGTAACACCCACTTTTCACTATTTATGTTATGAGTCCCATGTAATAGGGGGTGAGTCTATTGCTATATACAGGGTACAATTCCAGACTCCGTGCTACTACAGATTTTTTTTAACCTAGTAATACTTTGGTCGACCCGGGAATCAAACCCGAGACCCCTTGCACAGTAGTCGTACGTGCGACCACTGGGCCGGAGTTATTTAATTTCGCAAATTAAATAACTGTTGCCCGAATACTGAAACGCCATTCAAATTTAATTTGCGGTTAAATATAGTTCTGTCTCTATAAATTCTATCTAACTATCTAATAATCTAAATATCTATCTATAAATTCTATCTAATATTTAAGTATATACCACTAAAAATCTAGCCTTTTAGTATTCGGACGTATTTCCCTTACATAACCGGCAAAATAAAAATACTATCTTCCCCCACCGAAAAGCGAGCTATAATCCCATTTATTAATACAAATGTTGTTTTCCTAAACAGAAAATTCAATAGAAAACTGCATATATCTTGATAAAATCTTACTATACTATATATAAGATGCAAAATAAGCTGATAATTTAGTTATCATGACATTTGGACGGGAGCTGACAGCATGATAAATAGCCTAAGATTAGGAGCGACGTAAGGCCGGCTTGGGGCAAGTCCGAAGGGTTTTCAAATTTCATTACATTGACTTGAGGCTCGTATTTTTTCTGTTTTACAAGAAAATTATTTGCTTTATTGCAAAGGTATGGTGTTTTATACTTTATTGGAAGTTGCGTCACGTCTTTCATTTTGTCGAAGGTGTAAAAGGCTTTGGTGTATTTGTGTTTTAATATATAACGATTTTTTTAATAAAGATTAAGTTTTTTTTTTCATTTTTGATTCAGCTACATAACATAACATAACGTCACGTCTTTTATCCCCGAAGGGGTAGGCAGAGGTGCACACAGAAGTAACACCCACCTTTCACTATTTATGTTAGGAGTCCCATGTGTTATGGTTGCAAACTTGATTGTAATACATCTTATATTTATTATGTTACACTTCTTGTTCTTCCGTGGGGTGGGGACCTGGAGATTTGTTATACAGGTATTTTACGCCTAACACAGACTCCAGCTCCTCACAATGCCATAAAAATTGATTATAAAAAAAAAATGTAATACTAGATTAACGGTGTATGTGAGGAGAAATAAAGAAATTTATTATTATATTATTATTATTCAATTTTGTTGTTAATTACTTTTCTAGAGCATTTAAATAAATAAATATTAAAAAGTAAACATATGAAAAAAAAATTACGGCAAAAATGATACAGTAAAAATATAAATAAAAAATGAATATAGTGACGTGCAACATGTAATGTTTATCGACTATCGATACTATTGTATCGAGTCACAAAGACTCGTGACAGTTTTACGACATCGGGGAACGTACAAAGTATATTTTGGCTTAAGAAACTTTTCGACTTATAAATTTTGCTTTATGGGCTGTATATAACATTGTTGTTTTAGATTAAAAACTATGTAACAATGCTTTGATAAAATGTAGTGTCTTGTAGTCAAATAAGGTACTTTTTTGTATGATATGTATAAACCACTGCTTCATTGGTTACATAGTCATAAAGGTTATTGTAAACAACAAGAGACCCAGTTTGAACATAGTTAGAGTATACCTCAGGCTTAACAAGGCTTTTTGCTAATTGACAAATTAAGTATATACTTACTCATTAAAATCCCGAATATTTTACTAACATAACATAACATTACGTCTTTTATCCCCGAAGGGGTTGGCAGAGGTGCACGTTACGACACTTAATGCCACTGTGGAACACCCATTTATTTATGTTAGGAGTCGCATGTAATAGGGG